AGTTGGTTCACACCTGCCTCTCTCTCTTTCTCTCTCTCTCCCTCTCTCTCACGGAGCGCACCGCGTATTGGTGATCAAACGCTTCCCATCAGCAGCAGCGGCTGTGTGAGGCCATGTGTGTCCGGGGCTGGTGATGGATGGGGAAGATTCTCACTGAATGACTGACTGACTGACTGATGGTGATGTGTGTTACAGGGAGGCCATGTGCCCAGACATTGTGTGGCAGTCGGAGCGGAGCTGAGAATCGCCTCCCCGGACCTGCGCCTGTTGTTGCAGCCTTTACAGGTGAGTCAATAGCGGCTCTTTCCTCGGTCTCACACCATCGCCCCTCCGGCAGAGTTTAGGGACACGTTTGGATGCTGCAGTCGCTGCATTAAATGCAAGGATACAGCAAGACACGGTGAGGTCCTGCTGGTTTCTGTGCAGTTAGTTTGATGGGTGAAAAGGCAATTCCGCAACAAAGTGCTGAGTATAAATGAGGAGTTTGCTGGAGTAAAGCTGGGAGTGTGGGCATTGCTTTGTCAGGGACAGAGCGGTTATGAGAAGGTCTGCAAATTTCTGTCAGCTTTTGAGAGGACAACTGAAGGGTGGTGGACGCCGATTCGATAACAAGTTTTCAGAGATTAGTAGATAATTATTTGGGGAGTACAAGTGTGCAGTGTAATGCGGAGGGAGCGGGGGAATGGGGTTGACTTGGAAAAGCTCTTTTCAAACAGTCGGCACACACATGATGGGCCAAAAGCTTTCCTTCTGTGCTGTATAATTCTGTGATTCTATGAACTCGGGAAAGATTATGATTCGTGAAATGGTGACAAGGAGAGATAGACAACAACAACTTGCCCCTCACTCAGGGGAGTGTCTCAGAGTACCTTCACAGTGATGGAGCACAACACCGAGCTGGATAAGTGACCATTAACACGGTCGATGAGGAAGCTCTTCAGGAATGATCTGAAGATGGGGAAGGAGGTGGCAAGGCCGAGGGAGAGCGGTAGAGAGTTCCAAAGATTCAGGGTACAGTGGCTGGAAGTGCAGCCACCGAAAGCGAAAGGGAGGAAAGCAGTTTGAGGATATTAATGAGAACATGTGTGTGTTTTCACAGAACAACGACAGAATTCTGCTGCTGCATAAGACATTCCAACACCTCAACAAGATTTTCCATAAAAACATGAAGTCCGTCACCTGGGACCTGACGCAGGTGAATCACTTCCGGGAACTTCTGGTCACTCAGCGGGAAGTGGTGAAGGATTGCATCCAGGATTCAGCATCTGATTCCATGCTGAGCGCCCTCTCCACCATCCACACTTACTTCAGGAAGCTGCAAAACTTTCTCAAACAGCAGGTACCACATTATGTCCAATTGTATCATTTTCGTTGAAAAAAAAGAGACATTTTATTCCATTTAATTGCAACTGTCATTAATCACAATTCCTGCCTCTCTGTGTCTATTGTAGAGATACAGCGCCTGTGCTTGGGAAGTGATCCGGATGGAGACCCGAGCTCGCTTACAGCAAATCCTCATCTTAACAGCAAGAATGACGAAAGGAAACTGAAGGTCATCTGAAGATCATTCGTTTGAGAAAAAAGATCAATGACTATTTATAAAGAAACTCCTTAATTTATTTTAAATTATATTTATTTTCAAAAGCAATTTTTATTATTGTTCTTGTTATTATATTTGTAAGAAATGCTAAATGGATCATAGATACTTTTGATATTAAGATGCCGTCAATGTGGTTGCGGTAGTTCATTCCCAGAGTCTTTGAAAACAGTAAAAATTTGCTATATTTATTTGTGAGTTTGTTGACGCCTCTTTGTGTTAATTAATTTATTATTGTTTATATCCATGTTAATTTATTAATATTTATTGATTCATCTGGATTATTGGGATAACTGGTTGTGGGACACTGCTGTGCATAATTGGCTGCAGCGTTTCGCACACAAAACATAGTCAAACACTTTGCAATGTTCCTGTGAAGCGCTTTCAGATGTCTCAATGACATGATAAGGTGCCATATCCAATGCAAGGATTAATATTATTATTATTAATATTATTATTATCATTTGTTGGAAAGAGCTGCTACATGTTGGATTTGGTGACTTTGCAGCACCAGCTGTCTATCGGGTTTATCCCAAATCAAACCTGGTAACCAATCATTCAGTTCCTCAGAGGACTCATTTCCACCAGTAAATTCCCAGCTAGTTTTCTTTATTTGGCTCGCCCCAATCTACTGAAATGTCAGGTATTTCCTTACGACACCGTATTACAATTTTACATGATGTTTGGCTGTTGCTAATTTTTATAATTTGTCATAAAGAAGTATATATTTTCATCCAAAATCTAAGAATATGTTTCATTAAAAGATTTGTATTTTATATCTTATTTATTACCTGCTTTTTTTTTACGTGAAATGTTCCTGATTTTCTCAATGCCTCCACTCAGTGTCTTTACTTATTGTCAGTGAAGCACGCTGAGGCATTTGGAGGATACAACGCACTACAGTATTACATTTGTAAAGCACCTTTCATATCAGAATGACATCCCAAGTCATCCCAAGCTGAACAGTCAGGGATTAGGACCCAAGTGGCAGTGGGGCATTCAGATCATGGACGGTGGAGGGCAGAGAGGGGAGGAGAGTGGCTGAAAACACGTTCAAAGAGGAGGGCCTTGCTGCATTCCTTGAAAAAAACAAGGGAGGGAGCAAGACGGAGGGAGTGTATGATGGGGTTCTAGACGGTGGAGGCAGAGAAGCTGATGGCGCAACCACCAATGGTGGGATGGACTGGGCAGGGAGCATGGGGTGGGCCTGAGCATGCTGAGCGGAGAGAGCAGACAGATTGCTAAGGGGATAAGTGAGGTAGGAGGTGCAAGGCCATTGAAAGCCTTGAAGGGAAGAGCAAGAATTTTTAATGGTTGTGGAGCCAGTGGAGCCACCTATGGTGAGTTTGAAGGGGTCACAGAGCCCGGTGCAGGATAGGACATGAGCTGTAGAGGTCTGGATGATCTGTAGCTTTTGGAGGGAAGAGTTGGGAAAGTTGGCAATCAAGACATTGGGATGATGAGCCTAGTTATAATGAAGTCATGTATGAGGGTCTCAGTGGCCTGTGGGGTGAGGCGCTGGCGGAGTTAGGCAATGTTGCAGAGTTGGGGGAAGCCAGAGTTGGTAATATCATGGATGTGGGTGTAAAGGACTGTCGAGAGTCAAACCAAATGCCCAGATTCCTGATTGGCTTGGTGAGGTGGACTGTGCATCCTTGGAGTCCTGTAGCTCAGTGGTAGAGCACTCGCTTTGCAAGCGAGAGACCTGAGTTCAATTCCAGGCAGAGGGCGAAACCTTGGGCAAGTTTCCTTACTCCACACAGAGCCTAATAATAATCCCTCCAAAACCAAAAACAATAATAAATTGGTCATTTTCAATCTATGACTGTTTGTGGGACATTGCTGTGCGCAATTGGCTGCCGCGTTCACCCACAAATATACAGTCAATTCACATTACAGTGTGTTCTGTGAAGCGCTTTGGGACATCCTCCCGACGTGAAAAGCATATATCAAATGCAAGGATTATTATTATTATTATTATTTGGATGCTGATACTGCCACTGCCTGATGTGCGGAGGCGACGGCGAAATCCAATCAGTGGAACCTCAGTATTGCTGACATTCAACTGTAGAAAGTTGGCTCTCATCCAGGACAAGTCTGACCGACAGTCTATCAGAACATCAATCGTCCTGGGGCTGATGTTGGTAGCAAAGAGATCGGGTTGGGTGTCATCCACGTACATGTTCATGTTGAACCCATGTCTGCGGATGATGCCACCACAGGGAACATGTACCGGTTGAAGAGGAGAGACCCAGGACACAGCCCTGAGGAACACTGCACAAGATGTTGCGAGGACTGGAGCAGAAGCCATTTGTGGAGGCAAAGTGGAGTAGGTGTGAGCGATAGGACCTTAAACATTGAAGGATCTGAAATGTCACAACATTAAATGCAATGATAGAGAGAGAGAGAGTTGGTGTAAATCGCAGTCTGACTCCACTCGTGGTTAATGCTGACGATTGGCTGTGTCCAGAGACCTCTCCTCTGACATCGCAGCCCCTCAACCCACCCCTCCTCAACCAGAACCCCCCCTTCCCCCCAAACACACATTCTCTTTGACCACAAAGCGAAATCCGGAGTCGGTATCGTTTAACTTTCAATTTATAATTGGATCCGAAAGTGAGTGAGAGTGAGCGGCGGCCCTGCGAGCGGCGTGATGGAGATGAGTGGGCTCTTGGCTGAAAGGGTTAATTGTAGAGGTACCTGATAGCACATATAGGAAGTGGAGTTAAACTTCAAAATCAATCGGTGGTTATCAACAGGAAAGGCACAAGGTTGTCAGCGAAGTATTCTGATGTGTTTGGAGGTTGTAAAATGTCACAACATTAAATGCAATGACAGAGAGAGAGAGAGTTGGTGCAAATCGCAGTCTGACTCCACTCGTGGTTAATGCTGACGATTGGCTGTGTCCAGAGACCTCTCCTCTAACATGGCAGCCCCTCAACCGAATCACACACCCCTCCTCAACCAGAACACCCCCTTCCCCCCACCCCACCCCCACACACACACATTCTCCTGGGTCCCAAAGCCAAATCCGGAGTCGGTATCGTTTAACTTTCTATTTGTAATTGGATCCGAAAGTGAGTGAGAGTGAGCGGCGGCCCTGCGAGTGGCGCTGTGCAGAGCTGCGGAGTCTTCCAAAACTTTCCGTTTAGTTCCTGAAATCCCCGGGTTTTGGATTCCATCTTCCATCAGAACCTCAGGATTTCGCTTTTGACATGTAAGAATGCTGGTTACCGTAAAAGCCCGTCTCGCCAGCCCGGCACCGTGTGGATCAGCTCTGATACAAGCGGTTGGACCTCTGCTGCGCTCCTGCTCACACATCCAAGAAGGAACAGCTCCCAACTTGACCAACAGCCATCACTAGTGGACACCTTCGCTTCATCGCCTCTCGCCGATTTGTAGAATGGCTGTCCATTACCAGTGCGGTCTCAGTTTGTTTGCGATGCTGTGCGTCTCCCTGACTCTGGGCTGCTCCACGCTGCGGTTACAGAAAATTCTGATCGCAACAACTCTCAACACCTTGGATGAGATGGTAAGTGAGTTGGTTCACACCTGCCTCTCTCTCTTTCTCTCTCTCTCTCTCTCCCTCTCTCTCACGGCGCTCACCGCGTATTGGTGATCGAACGCTTCCCATCAGCAGCAGCGGCTGTGTGAGGCCATGTGTGTCCGGGACTGGTGATGGATGGGGAAGATTCTCACTGAATGACTGACTGACTGACTGATGGTGATGTGTGTTACAGGGAGGCCATGTGCCCAGACATTGTGTGGCAGTCGGAGCGGAGCAGGGAATCGCCTCCCCGGACCTGCGCCTGTTGTTGCAGCCTTTACAGGTGAGTCAATAGCGGCTCTTTCCTCGGTCTCACACCATCGCCCCTCCGGCAGAGTTTAGGGACACGTTTGGATGCTGCAGTCGCTGCATTAAATGCAAGGATACAGCAAGACACGGTGAGGTCCTGCTGGTTTCTGTGCAGTTAGTTTGATGAGTGAAAAGGCAATTCCGCAACAAAGTGCTGAGTATAAATGAGGAGTTTGCTGGAGTAAAGCTGGGAGTGTGGGCATTGCTTTGTCAGGGACAGAGCGGTTATGAGAAGGTCTGCAAATTTCTGTCAGCTTTTGAGAGGACAACTGAAGGGTGGTGGATGCCGATTCGATAACAATTTTCAGAGATAGTAGATAATTATTTGGGGAGTACAAGTGTGCAGTGTAATGGGAGGGAGCGGGGGAATGGGGTTGACTTGGAAAAGCTCTTTTCAAACAGTCGGCACACACATGATGGGCCAAACGCTCTCCTTCTGTGCTGTATAATTCTGTGATTCTAAGAACTCGGGAAAGATTATGATTCGTGAAATGGTGACAAGGAGAGATTGACAACAACAACTTGCCCCTCACTCAGGGGAGTGTCTCAGAGTCACTTCACAGTGATGGAGCACAACACCGAGCTGGATAAGTGACCATTAACACGGTCGATGAGGAAGCTCTTCAGGAATAATCTGAAGGTGGGGAAGGAGGTGGCAAGGCCGAGGGAGAGCGGTAGAGAGTTCCAAAGATTCAGGGTACAGTGGCTGGAAGTGCAGCCACCGAAAGCGAAAGGGAGGAAAGCAGTTTGAGGATATTAATGAGAACATGTGTGTGTTTTCACAGAACAACGACAGAATTCTGCTGCTGCACAAGACATTCCAACACCTCAACAAGATTTTCCATAAAAACATGAAGTCCGTCACCTGGGACCTGACACAGGTGAATCACTTCCGGGAACTTCTGGTCACTCAGCGGGAAGTGGTGAAGGATTGCATCCAGGATTCAGCATCTGATTCCATGCTGAGCGCCCTCTCCACCATCCACACTTACTTCCGGAAGCTGAAAAAGTTTCTCAAACAGCAGGTACCACATTATGTCCAATTGTATCATTTTCGTTGAAAAAAAAGAGACATTTTATTCCATTTAATTGCAACTGTCATTAATCACCATTCCTGCCTCTCTGTGTCTATTGTAGAGATACAGCGCCTGTGCTTGGGAAGTGATCCGGATGGAGACCCGAGCTCGCTTACAGCAAATCCTCATCTTAACAGCAAGAATGACGAAAGGAAACTGAAGGTCATCTGAAGATCATTCGTTTGAGAAAAAAGATCAATAACTATTTATAAAGAAACTCCTTAATTTATTTTAAATTATGTTTTTATTTTCAAATGCAAGTTTTATTTTTATTATTGTTATTATTTAAATGTTAAATGGAGCATAGACACTTTTTGATATTAAGGTGCCGTCAATGTGGTTGCAGTAATTCATTCCCAGAGACTTTGAAAAAACTTTTAAAAATGCTTTGTTTATTTGTGAGTTTATTGATGCCTCTTTTGTTAATTAATTTATTATTATTGATATACATGTTCATTTATTCATATTTATTGATTGATTGATCAGTATTACTGGGATGACTGTTTGTGGGGCACTGCTGTGTGTAATTGGCTGCAGTTTTACCTGATGTTTGGCTGTTACTAATTTTTGTAATTTGTCACCAAAAAGTGTATATTTTTAAATGAAATCGGAGAATATGTTCCATTAAACTTTTGTCTTTTGTATCTTATTAATTGCCTCTGTTTTACTTTTGCTTACTTCACGTGTTCCTGATTTTCTCAAAGCCTACTTTCTCTCTGTTGCATCTGTACATCCCCCCAAACCCCCACCCCCCAGACACCTCTCTGCTGTAACAACCTTTTAATAAGAGTAGAATGGATGCCTGTTATTAAAATAAATACCAGCTTTGAGGTTCTGGGTGAGTTTTATCGAATTAAAATTCTTCTGTTGAAATCTAAATTCTACGGCGGGTGGTGGAGGGGGTTGTGGGTGGGGGGGGGGGGGGTGCGAGTTGTGCAGTGGAGGTTAGGGTTGGTCCAACCAAAGGCATGGTGAAAGAGGAAAGGCTGGAGATGGGTCTTGAAGGAGGCAAGGGAGTGGTGTGGAGCCAAAAGAGCAGACAGGATGGGGACCTTGGTGCAAGCTATTGCCTGCAGAGCAGAGGGAGTGGAAAAACTATGGAACATGGGGCTTGGGAAGTATGTTAGAATTCACTGTGAACATCTCTTTCCAATGGTAGGGGATTGACACCGGGGGCTTGAATCCAAGATTGTAACTATGGAACTAAGAGGAAAGGATTTTCAAAATATGGAATGATTTCAATTATTACTGTTCATTTATTAAAAGAATTCAAGTAAAATATAGTTGTAAAAAAAATTAACAAAAATAAATTCGATTTTTTCATACAATATACATGTTGCCACAGTAAAACTATAAACAGGAATATCCGTAAAACATTAACATACAGAAAATAATTGAACCATTGTTCTCAATCTGAATCTAGAAATGGAATAATTACAGAATAGGTCAGTAGACCAAAGTAACAATGCTTAGTTATTAAATAACCAAGACTTTATAAACAAAAACACTTCTCAATAAATAGTTATTTGTCACATTCTTTTCTTAAACTTGTCATAAGAAGACCCTCAAACTCTTGTCTTTGCTTCTTTCGTGGCTAAAGTGAGCATTTCCTGTAAACGACGTGAAGTCTTTGCTCGGATCACTTCCCAGGCACAGGCGCTGAACCTCTACAACAGACAAAATCAGAGATTGTGGCAAGTTAGTGACAAATACAATTAAATGCAAATATTTCTCTTCAAAGATGATACAATCAGATATAACATGGCACCTTCTGTCTGAGAAACCTTCCCAGCTTGGTGAAGTAAGTGCGGATGGCAGATGTGGTGTGGACCATGGCGTCAGAGGCTGGTTCCTTCGCACATTTTTCCATCTCCATTTGTTGTTCATCCAGCACAAACCGGAAACCAAGGATCTTCTCCTGGTCCCAAGTGGAGGTTACGTTGTTACTGTAAATCTCGTTGAGGTGGTGGAGAGTCTGAAGGTAAACCTGCATTCTATCCCCAGGCTGTGGAAATACAGACATCCCTGCATGAGCAATGTAACTTTCTAAACCTGCACCACACACAGTCAAAGTCATTTGGTTTGGTCCTCACCAGACATTTTGTACCCGTCGCTCTGAATCGATCAAGTTTGCTTCCTGTTCTGCTTAACCTGCTAACACCGAGCTTCACACCATACCCCTGCTCCTTCCGACATCTCTACAACATTCCCATTTATGCCTTCCTTTATCCTGAAAGCCTTCGCTGTGACTTTGTCACCTATCAGATATCTTCTCCAAAATTCTCATTGCCCATATCTCTACATTTCGCTCTCCAGAAACTTCAATTAACCCAGAAATGTGTAGCCGCTCTCTCCCAAGACAACGTGGCACCGCCATTACCCACATCCAAGCCCTTTGTCTCCTGGTATCTTACAGGATGAAGGTTAAGATGCTTGTCCTGGGCTTCAGACCAGTCAGCAACTTGCCTCACCCTAACTGATCCTAACCCTAACCGTCTCAAGCTCTGTACTCCAGGCAAATCCCCTCCCGAGTCGGGTCTATCGCTCTTTTCCTCTCCCTTTTCCCTCCAATATTGGAAGCCTTTAAACACCGTTCCTATCCTCCGGAACTCTCTTCCCAAATCACCTCTCCTTCCTACCTCTCTTCTCGCCTTAAAAAAAAATCATAAAACTATGTAATGTCCCCACGTGGTGAGGTACAGGTATTTACTCACCTGAAGTGGCCCAGTCACGTTGCGCAGATTCAGCCGAAGGTCGACGGTTGAGCCCATTTCTCGCACACAGTGAAAGGGGATGGAATCTCTCTGAAACACAAACCGCACTTTCAATGAACTCGTCTCTGTCAGAAACACTGAGAAGATTCTCTCTCTGCACAACTCCCTCTCTCTCTCTCTCTCTCTCCAATTCTAAAACGATTTTATTGAAAGATTTCTTCAAATACTTCCTCCCCCAAAAATAACATTTTCGATTTCCCGGTGAAATCGCTCCAATAAATTCGTTTCAATGTTAGAATAATTTCGCCTAAAGTTATTTTCCCTTGTACTTTATAACGCTTGTACTTTTACGGTTGGTGTGAAAGCGAAAGGCGCAGGTTCAGCCGTACAATACAAGAGATCATTAGCGACAGAGAATTGTTATATTCTGCGCGGATTCCTGTGAACTCACCATCCACAGCAAAAGGTTTAAACTCCTCTGGCACATGAGGTTGTGTAAAGGCAGGTTACAGGCCAGGCTGGGGGTCTGGGTGGCCAACAGGGCGAGACACAGACATAGTTTCCAAACACACCTCAAAGGCATCCTATCTGCAAACAGCCAGCAACTGAGTGTGATCGAGAAAACCGTGTGCTCACTAGCGGGTGAGTGTGAGTGTGTGAGAGTTGCTCATATTGAGGTCGATGTTGCCAATAAGTAATGGAACGGGACACAGCGTTTACGTGACTTTCTACCACTCCCCCCCACACCCACCCGCCCCAATCTGAAATTAAAACAGCCCTGAGGTATGGTCCTTCCCACCCGCAAGCAAAAAAAAATCTTTCATTTTCTGATCTAGAAAGGGAATTCTCATCAAGAAAATTTTACAATAGACCAGACCCCAAGTGAGACTGGAGGAATGGTGGGAGGTGTGTGTGTGTGTGTGTGTGTGTGGGGGGGGGGGGGGGGGGGGGGCACTTGTTTAACGTTCAAATGTTTCAGTTTGTTATCTCAATCCTTACATTCAATAGCAACAAGTTGCATTTATATTTAGATAAATAGGGACTGCTGCAGAGTTTATAATTAACACAAAAAACATAAGTTCTAAACTCCCGACATATTGAGAGGAAAATTAGGGAGGGAGAGGACTATTTCAGTCTAATCATTCCAAATAACTGCAGTTAACAAGAGCGGGATATAAGCGGAATACAGTAAAAGTGAATGAAGATATGAGGCAATCAGAAGCAGATTGGTGCGGGTGTAGCATTGGAAGTGGCTGTGGTTACTTGGCTTTCAGTGTGAAGCTGTGGTCAATAAAACTATTTCAAGACTGGACACCAAAGGTGTCTGCAGTGCTTAGAATCCATAACTTTCTCATCTCTATCCTAACCAAACAATAATCCTAAAATCACAACACGTTGTCTGAGTATTTAAGACTCCATCTGGACCTCAATCTTGGCTCTCGTAAAAGTCGTTTCACCATAAGTACAATTTGGTAATTAATATTTTTCTATTCTCGGATTAGATTGCCCTAACTCCACTCAGAAGATGGTGAGAGATAATAATAATGACAATAATAATCCTTACATTTGATATAGCATCTTATCGTGTCTTTGAGACATCTCAAAGCGCTTCATAGAATATATTGTAAAGTGAATTGACTGTGTATTTTGTGGCTGCTCTGTTTGAATGTAAAAGCAGTCACTGCACTTGACAACAACTAGCCGTGAAGTGCGTGGAGACATTTTAATGTGTATACTCCGAAGTATTCAGAATATTAATAATAATAATCCTTGCATTTGATATAGCGGTTCATCTGTATCTTGGGGGAGCGAGCATAGGCATATTCAGTGAACTCAGCAAAGAGCATCAATCAATCTGGCAACTTATTGACTCAATGGTGGAGTTGACTCACTGGATAACCTGGTTTAGTCATTGAGGAACGCAACAATGTCTCCCTTTTCCTCCTGGAGCCATTGGCATGTATCCGACTATTGGCTTTGGCCATCTCCCAGGCTTGGAGTCTAGTTATTTTGGCCAATGTGAAAAACAAATGCCAATATCATGAGGAACCATGAATTGCCCAAGAACTAACTGAAGGTATCATCATCTCTACTTATCAGGCAAGCCATAACAGGTGAGAGTGAACACAAACATAGTGCAAAGAGAAAGTATATCCAAATTCTGTCTGCAAACAGGGCCAATATCATTTGAGTCACAATTGGATGATATAATTTCAGGCCTTGAGTCAGAGTGTCAATGAGGTCAGGTCGACCTTCAATAACTGGACCATAAACGGTTAACTGGAGCCTCTATTTTGTAGCTGACATGTCTGTGTAAGAATCATACAACTTATAACAAGGTTATATATATATAATCCACAACTGTTTGTGGGACACTGCTGCGTGCAATTGACTGCCACGTTTCGCCCACAAAATGCGCAGTCACTGGACTTTATGGTATATTCTG